ATAGGCTACTTAGTAAAAAGATGCCATTAAACACATTTAAAATCATATTCATGTCGTTTCTACATTAATTTGGAGATTCAATGTCAAATTATGACAATTTGACAATAAATTATTATATTAATATGCAATTAATTATAGAAAAAGGTGAAATTCGATTTTCTTTTTGTATTGTAATAATATTTCACAATATCATTATTATTTTTTTTTTTTTTGGTAGTTAAACAAATGCAGGTTTGGTGAGCATAAGAGACTTCTTTCAAAAACATTAAAAAAGCTTAATGATCCCAAACTTTTGACCTGTCATCTGTGTGTGCCTGGTATTCACTATGTTATGGGGTCCAAATGTTCCCACAAGTATAGTAATACCAGTAAATTGTGGGTATATAAATTAAAAGCATATAAATCATAAAGAATTAACATTTCTGTAAGGGGTATTTAGGTGTAGGGTTAGGGTATAGGGATAGAAAATACAGTTTATACAGTAGAAAAATCATTACATCTATGGAATGTCCCCCAAAAAATTAAATTTAGTGTGTGTGTGTGTACATATATATGCAGACTGTTGGGTAAGATTAAACTGAGTCGGGATAAAAATTAGCTTATTTCTATTCAAAGATGAGAAGCTGTGAGTTTCTTGTTTTCATTTCTTTCTTTCTGAATTTCAGTAGCACATGCATGATAAAACCTGAAGAAAGCCATGAAACCATCTTGCCTTGGCTCTATCTGGCTTTGGCTCTCCTGGGCCTTCCAACCAATGGAATAGTCTTGGTGGATCTTTGGAGATCAGAGAGGACACCCACTATCATCTTCACTTTGAACATAATCATGTCAGACCTGCTGATGTGCTGCAGTTTTTTCTTCCGAATAGCCTACTACAAAGAAAACAACAACTGGCAATCTGGAACTCCAGCCTGCAATGCAGCAGAGCTGATAATTTTCTCTTGCTACTACATAAACCTCTATTGCAACATGTGTTTCCTTTTGTGGACCAGCATTAATCGCTATACCACAGTAGTAAAACCAGGCTACGCCTTATTTCAGATCTTTAAACATACACGGTCTTGTTGGATCCTCTGCTTTTCTACCTGGTTGGTTGTCATCACCGTTGTGTGTGCTAGCATGGGGGTCAAACTGAGCCTACAAATTAAAGGGACCTGCTTTGACCAAGTTGTCAATAGTTACATTCGCTATAAAGATCAGTTCAATACTATCCACTGCTTAGGTGTGTCAGCATTCTTCTTCATTTTGTGCTTGATGCTGGTCAGCTATAGCCTGCTGGTCTTCCATCTGCAGAAGGTAAGGGGAGGAAGTCTAGTCGGCGCTGGATTTGGGCCCGGAGGAGGTCTGAAGGTTCGCAGGAAGATCCTGGCCTCGGTCATAATGTTTGTACTCTGCTTCCTACCCTACCACGTGCAAAGGATCATCTTATTAACATCAGATCATGAAAACTGTCAGGCAGAGTTCAGGATTAAAATGTGCACCATCTTTATTGCAGCTCTCAGCTGTTGCCTGCATCCCGTCCTCCAGCTGGTGTTTCGTTTGCGCTGCTGTCGGGCCAATCGCAACCACAGAGTCAAACCCAAACCTGAGATCTCCAAGACCCTGGACACACCTCACATACATACTATAAATGTGACAGAACACGCTGAGGAATCGAAGAAAAATGAAACTGAATGAAGCCACCAACAACCAACATCATAGTTTTGGGAAATTAGAAAAAAATGTGTCACAACTTTGCATTTCCTGTGTGATGCATGCAGCAAGCTGTGAAACATGCTAACCGCAAACTGTGTTTTGCTGCAATTATTTCTGTTTGGCAGAAGCAAAACTTATGGCCAGTTTACATGGTACACAGAAAAAAAAAAAGGGGTTTAAAATTTTACCTTTTGGGGTACAAAGCTTGTCCCTGGAGCAGTACCCTTAAAAGGATACATTTGGACCTTTTTTTTATTTATTTTTTGTACCCCTAATAGGTAGTAATGTACCCTTAAGGCTTGTTCACACCGGGACGAATATCGCGCGCGATAATCGCCGACGTTTAACGCCTCGTGACTAAACAAAGGGCGCCAATGTGAGTGTGCACACCGACGCGCAAAACGCGAGGCGTAAAAACGACATTTTTTTTTAAACGCCTCGGGCTCGTTTTTTTGGTTTGACGCGCTGTTAAAAACTGGCCGACCAATGAGATTGGCGCTTTTGTTCACGTGCCTGGAGTTGCTGAAGTTACAGTAAAACACGACTTGGTGGAGCTCAAGCACAAAACGGTCTTGCCGAGCACACATTGATACCTAACGACGAAGAGGAAGTAAGTAGACCAAGAAGATGCATCGAGGCAAGATGAATGTAGAGCTGCTGGTCTCATTGGTGTCTGAACACAAAGGGCTTTATGACAAATGCGACAGCGACTACAAAAATCTCGATAAGAGGGAGTTGTTATGGAGAGGAACTGCAGATCAAATAAGATTCGATGTGTACCGGGGTATTTCTGTTTTTCATTAAGCAACATCTAATGTCAGGGAGTGAATTTGCACGTTCACTCGGCTCATCGCCAGCGAAAATCGCTTGGGTAAGAACACAAAAGACGTGTCGAAAAACGTTGGCGATAAGCGCACGCGATAATCGTCCCGGTGTGTAAGAGGCTTTAAGGTACTAATATGTACCTATTAGGGGTAAAAAATATGTCCTTTTAAGGGTACTGCTCCAGGGACAAGCTGTTGTACCCCAAAAGGTACAATTCTGGCCCCTTATTTTTCTGTGAGTAGTGTGGTACCTCAGCATACTAACATACTTTTTACACAGTATACAATACATACTACATACAAACAGTCCTTATTGACTATGTTGGAGCGAATTTTTCTGTATTAATGCCAACTAAACTTATTTTAGTAAGGCTTTGCATTGATGTTCTGCTATTTGCTTTTGTATTTATTAATTTATAGTATTAAATATTGCAGGCACACACTCTGCATGGTCAAATTGCATTCATTACAATTGTTGTTCACAGACACCATTTTCCCCAAAGTAGGTTGTCAACATTTTCTCCAGAGATATCACCTATACGTTTGAAATGTTCAGCTGCAGAGGGGACACTTAGCCATCAGTTCCTCACATCACAAACAACACTTTCTGGAACTTATTATTTGGTCATCTTTCTAGGGTATATAACATATTTATAAAGGCCGATCCTGTCATTGCAGTGTTTGGTGTGGTTGTGCCAGAAGAGGGTCTTACCAAATAACAAGTGGTATCCCTCATCAAGATGTCCGATTTTACAACACTTGATGTCTGAGGCTTTTGATATGCGTGTCATGGATTTGGGAAAGATTTTGCATTTGTTTTATTAAGGAAAAGAAAGAGCATGTCTTTTTGAGTATCTGGGAATCATTTACATTTACTATGTGATGGGGTTAATCCATTGAATGTCTTGGTGCATTACAGTTGCTGTACTGTTACTCAGATTACTCCTACGCAGATTTTTTTTCATTTGTTGTTGTTTTGTTTTCAATGTCGCTGACATGTTAACTCGTAACCACCCAGAGTTGCAATTAATGTTTGTTTTGCAAAAAAAAACAAACAATATAACATATAAGGGGGAAAAAACAGCTATTTAATCCACATTCAGGTATTGTTGTGTGCTAAAACAAATTATACTTCTTAAAAAAATTGCATTCATAAAATGTATCAATATAAGTTGTCAGCATGATTCTAGCATTTGTTTTGTATAGTACTTCAACTGCAATGTGTCCATCCCACCACAAGAGTTCGTGAGGAGACCATTAAAATCCTTGACAGGTATCTCTGCAATAAAGTCAGGGGACAGACCAGTTTACAATAGAGCTGTATTCGGATAAAAACATACAATAGCAGATATATGACAGATAAAAATCTTTCTGAAAAGGCAACTACAAGTTTTACAAAAAGTCCAGATGATACTCAAATGCTTTTTAAGCTACTTTGTGAAGCAATGGTTAAATAACAAAAAGCACCTTTTACAGTCTCACAGCAGTTCTGCTATCAAAGGCAAGTGCTTCTGTGAAAGGAACCTTGTAAAAGAGAACTAAGTGAACATCACTCATGCTCAGACCGTCACTTCCGTTAGACAGCCAGTCTAGGGAGGTGGCCCAAAGCAAAACAATTTACAGATGCCTGTTACACACATCAGTGACTGCATTTAGAGAGGTAAGTGTATTACATTGCCTATATTAGGCATTATATTCTTACTCTGATATTGCTAAACAAATTAGTCATTCAAAATTAAAACCAAAACACTGTAAAATATGTTTCAACTACTCTTCTACTTTTCTTTATTTATATATATATATATATATATATATATATAATCTCAAATTCAAAAAATTTACCCTTATGACTGGTTTTGTGGTCCTGGGTCACATACTATATATATATATATATATATATATATTTTTTGGATAAAAGCGTCTGCTAAATGACTAAATATAAATGTAAATGTATGCAACACCTATTTTTTTTTTGCTGTTTTGCTGATATGGTTGCTGTGAAATGCTGTAAAAACCCATGCACACTTTACTGCTGAAATCTATGTAGTAATGACTACAGAATATCTGACAACATTATATATAGCTATATATTCTTCTTTTTAAAATAACTTAATGTTATTTGTGTTAAATGTAAAATCTCCAGAGATATCACCCACGTTTAAAATGTTCAGCTGATATAGTGTGTGGCAAAAAAAATAAAAAAGAAGCTGACTTATTGTGAAAGTGGTTTATCAGCTTCTGCAATTGGGTTAAACTATTTACAGGAATGCAAGCGATATCCGAAGTTACTTCTGTAAATAAAGGAGAAAGAAAGCTCAGGTTTTCATTAGAATGTAATTTCCACTCACTGTATGTACTAACAGTAAACCCTTAGTTTTAAGTAAAATCTTATAGTGTCCTTAACCAATTTTTAACAATAATATAACCTTTTAAATTTTTTTCTTCCCTCAGCTAATGGGAATCTCTTTTTCTGAGAGCTCAATGGCAAACGATTCACATGCTGAATCTCACCTGTGCCAAACGTCCACTACAAGTGTAGTTCTGCCCATTATCTACACCATTATGTCTATCACTGGCCTGCCAGGGAATGCTATTTCTCTCTGGGTGTTCATACGCAAAATTGCCATCAAAACGTCCACTCACATCTACCTGATAAATCTAGGGATCTCAAACTTGCTGCTCTGCCTCACCATGCCATTCCAGGCCACATACTACTCACTTGGGACCAAATGGCGCCAGCACGACACCATGTGCCAAATGGCAATAAATGGTCTAACTCCAGTGATCCACATCAACATCTGCATTGGTGTGATGATATTGAGCTGGGTGGCACTCAGTCGCTTCGCTTCGCTGATTCAACACTCCCATGCTGACCGTCCAAGCCGATGGCTCAAAGTTCTACCAGGTGCCTTTCTCTGCCGAAAACGACATGCGAAACTGGCCTATGCGCTGTGCATGGTCACCTGGGCCATTGTAACCATAGCGGTCACATCCTTTGTGGTGCTGTACTCGATCAGAGAGGCTAGGAGTGTGGATGACGGCGACGGAAATGAAGCGTGTTACAGCGTAGCAGTGGAGGTTGGCGGGGAAGGATCTCACGTCTTCGCTTTAGTGGCCGTTTCAATGTTCTTTGTCTTCTTCCTGTTGGTCATAAGTGCTTACATGGCAGTGATCAGGCACATCTGGAGGTCCAGGAGAAGCGCGGTCATCTCAGACAGCCAGCGAGTCTACGCAAGAGTGTTTCGGAATATTGTTGTCATTATGGTGGTGCTGGTGGTCTTACTCCTGCCGCACCACATCTACAAAGCCATCTTTGTTCATATCGTCAACGAGCTGTCTTGGTCTGCATCACCTCCAAAAGACGCTTGCCATCCACTGTCCATGTACGTGGAGGTGAAGAGCATCCTGCTCTGTTTAGCAACTCTGCGATGTAGCACAGACCCCATCATGTACTTCCTGCTGGACAAGACGTTTCGTAATCATGCGCTTAGCCTGCTGAGATTACGCACTAGTGCAAATGACAGTCAGTCATCAAAGTCTAACATGGGACAGTTATCTCAGGCAACAAGTGCATGCCTTTAGACATTACTTGAGAGAAAACTGTACACAGACACAAAGGAGTCTCATTGTGAGCGATGTTCCCTCACAGCTAAATGTTGTGTGGATGCACACAAACATAAGAAAAGGGAGAAACTTCCTGAACAGAGCTAAATAAATGGGCATCTTTTTAACTGGATTACTTCTGCATGTCCATTGTTCTTCAGTATGGATGTGAAGCTGTGAGAACTCTTGTGTAAAATGATGCAGTGCTAAGAAATGCTATATAACAGAGGATATGTGGAGAGGCACACAGTGGAACCCAATGTAAACAAGTATTTTGCAAGTTGCAAGTCCCTATAAAGTAACCAGATGTTTTGAAAAGCAGCTACAAGTCAGACTGATGCTTCCGTTCTCACACCACTTTTAATTGCTGGAGTACTTTGTGTAGCTTTAAATAGATAGTTTAGCCAAAAACTGAAAAATTCTGTCATCAATTACTCATTCTCCTGTCATTCCAAACATTGATAACTTTCTTTCTTCTGTAGTCTGTTTTTTTTTTGTCTATTTTTTGTCTTACATAAAGTCAGCATGAAATGGACATTCACCAATTCTCCAATCATTTAGTCCACTTATAAACCTGCCTCTTTCTTACATTTGACTAGAAACTTGCATTCAGACGAGTCTCTTTCCAATCACAAACCAATTATTTGAACCAAGTGCCTGTACATTTTTCCTTCTTTTATAAGCTTTTTTATTTGGATGTATGATATGGAAGAAAAGGTATGTTGCTACTTCTGTTTATCACAACTTTAAAAAAACAAAACACATTTGGAATGACATGGGGTGAGTAAATGACAACAGATTTATTTATTTTAATTTTATTTTATATTCTATACCTTTGATGTGATTTCTCACACATTTACAGCATGCCTCATTTTTACTTTTAATGACTATATTCATTTCAGGTTGTTTTTCAAACATATGTTATTGTTACAGGTCTTGCAGGGCTGCTTGTTTCCTTTTTTGTTACATTTACCCACTTTCCTGTTCCTATTTGCATGCTGGTTACTGTGGTAAATGTGATGAGCTTTCCATTACTGTAGTTGTGTAAACAAAGTATGTGTGCTTGTAAAACGGTGCTTTGAATTTTTTGCAGCACACTCATATGACTATGTCACAGGTAATGATGCATGATGGAGTAGGTATCCATCTACGTTTCTAATGACAGCAGCATTAAAGGCCATTAATTTACAGACAGTAAATATTAGTCTGTCAGGAGCTTCAACATGTGCATCATTACTCCTATAAAATAGCAAGATTATAGTTACCTATTTTGCTTTTGCACCATCATTCTAATCTCAGCCAGATAGCTAGCTCTATAAAGCCATTTTGTCAGAATATAGTCAGTCAAATTAAAAGGCAAATCTTAGTCTCAGTCTATCCAGACAGAAAACTTAAAAAGTTGCTTGGTGTAGTATATCAATGGTGCATATTCTAAACATACAAGGCAATTCACAAAGAACAATGCTAATGTACAATATGAGTAAGAAATCTTTGAAAGAAGTGAAATCTTTCTTCCTTGATGGATGAAGTTCAAAAGAACACAATTTATTAGAAATGGAAATCTTTTGTAACATTATACATGTCTTTGTTACTTTTGGTCAATATAATGCATCCTTTCAGCATTAATTCCTTTAAAAAAAATACAAAAAAATGACAGGTGAAGACTGGGTGACAGGAGAAAATTATGATTCACAGACCTTTGTCATCAAGATCATCTTTGTTCTAATAAGATCTGATTGCTGGTGATGGTAGATTTGCATTTCTCTGAGGCAAATGCAAATGCTTAATTTTTTCTTGCACATCACATATACAGTATAAATCTAGATACATAACACGAGTAAAATCCACAATACTACTCATAACACACTTTGTCTAAAGTTTACTAAAGTTTGTGTTTGCATTTATTAAACACAGTTCAGAGATACACAGAATAAGTAAGATCCAGCGATTGTTAAGTCTGATCAATGCCAAATATTATTGTTAGTCAAACACGTTTTGAGCAGTAAAAATAAATGTAGCAAAGTATTTTATTTTCATGTTTAACTTTTTTAATTTTGTCACATTTCTTTCAGAAGTGTTGTTACTGTACATGTTTGAGGTTTGTATTCAACAGCCTGTTACATGTCTAACAAATTCAAATACTGAGAATAAAGTTTTTTTTAAAAACCTATGTACATTTCTTCAATGTAAGTAAACCAAATGTCCTGGCTTGATAATTTTTATTAGCATATGAAGCTTTTTTCCTTAGTACCTGTAAGCGTGGGCGATTGTTGGGAAACATCATGTTTTCTATTTCTAGGTTGTGAGTTCAGCTCTTAAGCAACTGATTGTCAGCACTTTATATTAGTTTCCCGTTTAATTCCCTTGTATTGACAGCTGAAGGCTATTTATGAGAAAAGAGAACAGCCCAATTTATTCTTACAGTGTGATGGTAGGATGGTAACATACAATAGAAGGGGGAAGTTGCAAAAGTGTGAAAACCGCTAAGACATGTCAATGTGTAACAAAGGGCTTTGGTCAGCAGTCATCTAAAGCACTAGACACCACCGAACTTACCTTCACATCCCGGTGAATGATGTTGTTGTCATGGCAGTACCGCAAAGCCTCTAGGATCTGTCTCATGTAGTGACTAAAAAAGACAGAAACCTATATTAATTTCAAACTTCATTGGCCTTGTCTACCTGAATGGGAAGAAAATGGAACTAGGTTTGGAACTACATTATGGTGAATAAATGATGACAAAATTTATTTTTTAATAAAATTAATTTATTAACTATCAATTTAACAGAGAAATCTCAGTCTACAACTTAAAGAACAGCACAGATTTCTGAGCCAAGTGGATTTTGAATGCAACTTCCAAAAGACAAAAAATAGCCGAATAATATTTTTTATATTTGATACAATCACATCGGAGTGATTAGGTCGTTCAGTGCGGCACAGCATCAGCTGCTAAATTCAAATCTGTGTTCGCTGGCTGGCGCTGAGCCAGAGACAGACGCGTTTGTACAGCACTGCATTATAACCAATCAGACATGATTCTGTTAAGCTTATGAATGCAATGACCAATCAGAGACGTTCAGATAAGTCATCGCTGCTACTGTTTTGATAGCGTTGATAACATTTATGACAAATAATATCATGATGTGGGTTTTTTTTGTGCGTTTGCCTTACCGAATGTGGTATCCTGTCAGCAATAACATGTCTGTGGGCTCTTTTGATTACTATCAGTTTAAGTTCTGGCAGTGTTGCCAGATATTGCTATGAAAACAAATAAAAACCAAAAAATAAATAATAAATAAACCGAAATAAGTTCAAATCGTTTGTAAATAAGATAAGATAAAGATAAACCTAAACTGCAATATCCCACTCTATTAACTAGGGATGCGCCGATCCGATATTCATATCGGGTATCGGCTCTTCATATTTGTTTATTTTATTTTTCTTTATAATGAAGTAGTCTGTATCTAGTAGATTGTGAAAGAATGATTATCAGTTCCACACACAGAGATATATAAATTCTACATTTATTTAAATGAGGGAAAAAAAAACTTCACTGGTATCGGATCGGTATCTGTATCGGCCAATACCGAACCCTAGGTATCGGAATCGGTATCGGAGGCGAAAAAGGCGGATCGGAGCATCCCTACTATTAACTTTCTAAAGTGTCAAATTAAGTAGAAAAGACAAGTCCAAATGTGCTTATAATAACTGGATCTGGCAACACGCCCGCGCCCTCACTCACAGTTCTCTGTTCTCCCAATCCTCGTTCACTCCGCCAGCGTCTCGCAGCGTTCATTTTAATACCACGGGCGCTAAACATTCTTGTAAACTGTCTAAACTTAATTATACATGCAGACACTCATATGAGGAGCTTTAAATAGCAGATTAGTCATTTAGAGAACAAATTTTATATTTGAACATTCAAAATGTACCGAGGTCCGAACCTCGGTGACCTCATTGCTGGCTATGGGCATGATTAAATTCACATTAAATACAAAGTCAGTCGTATTAAAAATATTTTATGACAGCCATATTTGCTACTTAAGTAAAAAGTCTGGTTTTTAGGCTATGTGTAGTTAATAGATTACACTATTAGTCTACTTTGCCCATCACCATTTATTGATCAAACAACAATCTATAAAGGTGCAAAACGCATTTACTTATGCATATTTGAGAATCGAGATATTTCCTGATAAAGTTAACACGTTTGGAAATAATTCAGTATATCAGTTATATAGTGCTATCGTGGCTGCTGTGTGTCACAATACAAGCATGACCAACCTTCCCCCCCTCCCAAAATGGATGAAAATCCTCAAAAGTATTTACCTGGCTACTGCCTCACTGTAAACAAAACCAGCGTCTGCTCTCTTCACAATCTCAAAGCAGAGATCTGCTCCATCCATGCTGAAAGACAGAACAAGTCAGGAACTCATCAGCAATGTAAAGTCAAATACTGGCACATCAGTTTTAAAATCTATTTCTGGTTTAACTTTACAAATCTGTAAGATAAGAATGAAAAATCAATTTTGTCTGACTCCACCTACACTGAAATCTCATCCAAAATCCCCCCCATAGGGGTATATATTAAAGTGCCCCTATTATGGATTTTTGAAAATTACCTTTCATGCAGTGTGTAACACAGCTCTAAGTGAATGAAAACATCCTGCAAAGTTTTAAATCTGAAAGTGCACCATGTATAAAGTTATTGCATCTCAAAAGAAAGAGTCGACTCTGAATCATTGAAACGAGTCGCTTTTAAAACGAATCCCGCCCACTTGTTGGTCTTTTCAAGTTGGTCTGAATAAAAATGCAAATTCATTCTTTGCCACTAGGTGCCGCTTTTGGAGCGGTAAAAATAGCGGTTTCCCCAGTAACGCTGTACACAAAGCAGCACTGTGTTCACAAACATCAGGCATTACAAGCATGATGAAATGAAAATGAGACCAATCGGATCAATCACCGCAGATTAGTGCCACGCAAAGGAGGGGTTCGGAAAAATTAATTGCTGAGCGAATCGTTTGGGAGTCGTTGAGCAAGTAAGGTAAAAATAAATGCATATTAAAAGACAATAAAAGTGTTTTTTGACCTTGCATGCATGTCAACCTGTTGGTTGGGGACTCCCAAAACCAAAATATGAACCTTTCCCTTTCCCAAAACCAAAATATGAACCTTTCCCTTTCCCAAAACCAAAATATGAACCTTTCATAACCCATATGACACTTTAAACTTTAAAATCAGTGTTTTAAAAACAGTTTTTGGAGAACTGAGAAAGTGTTGTTATTTCGCAGCTTTCAGTGTGGGAGACATGTATTGCAAGGCCTGTCTTGCAAGTGTGTTTTTTGCTTCGCTGGTACTTGCCTATTATCTCTGAGCACAAATTGAACTATGAATTATGGACTGGGTTAACTGTGGCCATTTTCAGAAATGAACACTTTTCTGATTGAAAATCTTCCCAGTGCTTTAACACCAAGACCGTAACGGTGTTGCTTCCAGGGGGCAGCAGAGCTCTGGAAGCCCCTGTTTTTGTGTCGGCTCGGGTTTCTAAGGCCTTTAAAGAAAATCCCTTGAGAGGCAGCTGCGCTTCTCCAGATAAGAACTCACACTGCATGAAAGTTATTTGAGAAAAGCTCTGCACTGTAGGGATTTCTATCCATAACACTTAAAGCCTTGCAAACAGAGACTTTTCAGCAGAACTGCCCAAGCCTCTACGTCATCAAGAAAGCAACCATTCCAACGAGGGCTTCCCCAAAAGGATGTCATCCAAACGTCATTCCGGCGCCAGATCAACAGCCAATCAGCCACGGAATCCCCTCCAGTAGCCACGAGGAACAACTCAGCTTTCAGCAAACGCAAGTACAAACAAAATCTTCTATCTGCTGAACTGACGCTGGTGAATTGAGTTAAGCAGTAAAGATAAGAAAATATCTGCTTTGTGAATTCTCTCAGGCTGAATTTAAAACCACTCGTGAAAACGAGTTAGAACTTTGAAACTTCATGCAACTCCGTTAACTCACTTCTGAACTGTATATGTGTGCGTGTGTATTTTAGCTTAGCTTTAATGTAATCTAGAATAGCCAATAAAATTCGTGTTTCATTTATAAAGAATCATTGTCTGGTGTCGTATAATTTTAAAGTCAAACCCTTGCCAAAGATCACGTTACCTCTCTAAGAGCTTACAAATTATCATAATTGTACTGACCTGTGGCCAGGGAAAATACCCATAATCAGATGGTTAAAATACATGAACATTAACGGCTCGCTGGACGACCGTTGATAAGGTGTAAACCATTAAAATTTGAAATCAGTTCTAATCAGGTGGACTTCGAATTTTCAGATTCGAGTCTTTTCAAAACCTGAATGAATCAATAATAATTAATTCCCTAAAATTAAGTAATCAAAGACATTACAGCACTTTAGATAAGCATATGAGCATTTAGCATTTGAGGAATTAAAAAGCTCACCCTATACCACACAACAAAACCTATACCCTATTCCAAACCCGCTGAGAGAGTAACAAACACAGGCTACTCAGGACAGAGCACAGCATGTTCATGCCTTGTTTTGAGATGCTTTTTAGAGTTCACTGACCCAACCTCGTCACAATATGCTTCAAAATAACCTTGAAGTAACACAAAATTCCTTTCACATATACTAAAACAACATGGATGTGTCAGACTTTCATTGCATTTAAAATTTGATGTGAATAAAGAATAATGGAATGATAAAACAAGTGCAGATTAGCTCAGAATGAAAACTTACAACTCAAACACCATGTAGAGCATCCCATCAGAGCTGTAGGTCTCCAGAAGCTCCACTATGTGAGGATGTTTCAGCATGTGGCAGATGCTTGCTTCTCTCTTCAGATCTACAGAAAGACAAAAAGATAGGCTAATTTCAGTTTCCAATCAAGTCAAGTTTATTGATATAGCACTTCTTTTACAGTACATATTGTTTCACCCAGGAAGCCACTCAAAATTACTATGCTTAATAAAGGATCAAAGATAATTTTCAGTTTAATTTAATTTTCTACAAAATAATCTATTATTTTTTTAGCAACATTAAAAACACTCGTATGCAAAGGGTTGATAAAAATGCTTAATTTAAACATGAAGTATGATGTAATTTTGTTTAGACGTTTATTGTCTGTAATATCCCAATTTAATACAAAAAGTCAAGCTCAGCACCATATTTCACATCTGCATCTTTTACTACTAAAACTAGTTTATACAGTAATTCAGATGCAGGATTTCGCACAATTAGCAAAAATGTGCAAGAGTGCACAAACAGACATCTGTGTGGACGACCCCGCACACACACCGCTGCTCTTCTCATCTGTGATTAAAACTGTTGGCATTCAAGAATCACAGCCATTAGAAGACAGCAAAAACAGTTGTTTAACAAGCCAGAAGAGCCATGTGAATACATTGAATAAGTATTCTGCATGTGCGAACCACATTAGTCTTAGCATGCCGTGGGTTTCCTCAGAGCAGGGCCATAGTCCACAGTTTAACAGTCACACTTCCTCGACTTCTTAAGTTCCACATAGACTTTTTGGTGCCGTGAATGGAATGTGAGATTCACATATATAAGGGTCTCATATGCATTGATCGAGGAATTACATGGATAAAACTTTTAAAAAATCATTCAATAAAGGGTCAAAAAAATTTACAGATCAATTAATGTATTCAAATATACTGTATATATATAAAATAAAATAAAAAGTCTGCCACATCAAAGTCCATCTGTGCAACCAATGCAAAGACCATGAAACAGGAAATTACATAATGAGGCCCTTTAAAGACTTTCATGACAAGGTTAATCTCTTAAAATATCAAATTATTGAACGTTTTACGACAAGTCCCCTGACCCCAGTAAAAAAAAAAAAAAATCTGAATGAGTAATTCTTGATATTTGTAAATAAACAAATAAATAAATTTTTCAGTAAATTCCACTATCAAACACTTGGAGAGGCTGTGGAGCTAAAAAAGCATCAAATAAAAGACTAACCTATGCTTTGTGTCACAGTGAAATTAGCATGTGAGAGACAGCTTTATTATATTTATTTATGGTAAAGCTAAAACATCAATGTACACTAGCTCAACCACCATGAAACAAACAGCTTTGTTTAAAAGACACAGAGCAGATAGAACGATAGAACAGGAAATGTGCATCTCAGAGTGTTGGACACATACTAACCACAAAGACCATGACTCAGAATAGCCAAATGCATCACAACATGTGCATGCATTAGTACCTCGCTCTTTCCTAAAACTACTCTGTGTTTTTTTAAAACTTACGCACTTCCTCCCTAGCGGAAAGGCCTCCCCCTTTCCTGACTTGTTTCATCAGTTTAGCGGAAAGGCCTCCCCTTTTCCTGACTTGTTTCATCAGTTGTGACCCAGTTGGCAAGAGCAGGGAAATACCTCTTACTGTACAGTATATCACTGCAGATTAGTGAAGCTACACAGACTGGAGGAGACACGTACTGTCAATACTGTCTGATGTGTGAGGTCAGCTTGCTGCAATGCAAACTAAACTACATCACATTATAAATAAAATCACACAAGTTCCCCTCACTGCAAAACTTCAGTTGATGGATGTTCTGTCTCTATGTTTGACATTCTAACATTTAAACCAACATATGCTCAGTTGAACCTCTTCTCTGTCAGCGAGAATAAAAAGTAGTAGTCTATCCAAGAGAGCGAACATCAATCAGACCGACCAGCCCAGATGCTTGTTACTGATAAGCCATAAGCCAGACACTCCCCTGAGTGATTTATGCAGACTACTGCATGGATCTTCTTTATCTAAACCACACTCAGACATTGCAGATGAGATTTTAAGTTGTGGGAGCCAACAGAGCAAAAGCACTTTTTAAAGGGAAAAAATAAGGCCCATAATAAAAGCCATAAAATAAAGTGTTTTTATGACACTTGACATTAACTATGATCCACTAATGTTTGACGAACAGACATTTTATCTTCAACTTGAAATGTTTAGCTTGCAAACTCTGCTTGTGCTATCATGCTTTAAAATAACAAAATGTCAAACCAAGCAGCATTTATCTAAATCATACATTACTGTTCAAAAGTGTGGGGTCAGTAGAATAATAATAAATCTTTCATTTGGATTAAACTGCTCAAAAGTGGCGGCCAAAGAAAAATTCAATTTCAAAGAATCTCAAAGAAAGATCTCAAAATGCTGTGGCAGTTCAGCCCAGTTGGTTCTACAATATCCTTTGTACCGAAGCTAAAAATTATGTTGAATTTATTCAGTTACAAATATCTGAATGGTGCAGGTCATCATGTGGCACCTCTTCCGTCTGCTCCAGGTGTTTGAAGCCTGTGTTTCAAGGATGGGGTGCTTAGGGATTTATGGGAAAATCTGGGACACTCATGATGAGGAGACGATATGCAGCTTTAATACGATGCAACAGCAATCTGAGATGCAACTTGATTATCTGAGGAGGAAAATCTTTGAAATCAGAGGGTGAGATTTACTCACAGAGAAAAGGCAGCTCGGCTTGGATGTTTGGCACAACATTCCCACACAGTCTGGACACTCGCTACTCTCTATCTCTGTCCAGCTTCCTCTTGGAGCCTTCCCCTGGGACATTCCCACGAGTATCTACGAGTGTCTACAAGCGGCCAGTTCTCACAACACACTCTGTGGCACGTACATGACACTTTTGGTGAAGCACAGAAGATTTTACGGTAGGGATGCACCGAATGTTCGGCAACCGAAATTATTCGGCCGAAAATAGCAAAAAATAATAATAAATTGTACCGAACAATGATTCACGTGATCAAATAGCAACCAGCGCAGAGTGAGAGTGCACACTCTTTATTATGCAGCACACACGTCAGCAGTGTGGAAGCATTTAAACTGTCGGAGAAAGATGCAAAAATCATTACAAGCACCGACAACGAGAGACTGTTTAGTGCTGCATCGCATGTCTTCAATGAGAAGAGAAAGGGGTGATTGTTGCTGGTTACTGTATGATGATTGAAATCGCGAAATGGCCTTAAACAAGTCAGTTGCTCAGGCACATTATTATGAATTTGTACAAGTCATGTGACAATGCGATACGTACGACGTATTCGTAATGAGACTCATTTATAAATCTGTTGTCAACAAAAATAAGCATTGAGGTCTTCCTGCTTTGAGTTGAGAAAAGTTGAGAAAAAGCAAGAACTCTTATCAACATTCATAAATGTTAGTATTGTAATTTTACTGTTACTAAAATAAAAATTAAGACAATAATAATGATAATAATCATTACAACAGCTTTTAATACATTTATTATAACATTCACACATAGTGTTCAAATTAGGATATGTAATATTTTGTAATGTTTTAAAAGTCTCTTCTCAGCAAAGCTGCTTTTAATTGTACAGTAAAAAAAATGTAAAAAAAAACATGCCTGATTCAAGATGGCCAAAAAT